TTTCATTATTATTATTTTTCAGCAACTTTAAAAATACACACAAAGAAAAGAAGAAGTAAAAAAAAACACCCCTCCTCTAATACCTATTGGCTGCAGTTGGCCTGACTGTAAATGTGCAGCAGCTAAATGTCTGCCCTGTTAAATGTCTAATACTGCTGCTATGACGTCCCTGTTGATGCCTTAGATTGGCAGGTTGTTTGCCAATCACAAAACATCTTTGTCTTGTGGAGAAACTGCAGCCCACTAAACGTGATGTCACGGGGTCGTTAGTTACAAGCCAGTATAAGGTAAGGTACAATTATGTCACTGCACCTCTGTGACACTGCAGGCACTAACAATTTCTGGTGGTTTGTCTTAAAGAGAAAGGAATCGTTTTTTTAGGAGTTTTGCCAGACAAACTGTCGCCAACCAAATAAGAAAAAAGGAAAGAAACAATTATGCTTTAATGCTTCGTTTTGAACCCTTGTAGGAGACATATGAGGGGAAATAATTTCCTTTGAAAGGGATATGAAATGATGTCATTCTCTCTGGTGTGAACACATTACCAAATAGATTATGGTCACAGAGGTCACATCCTCAGTAGTGTTTCTGGGCACTTTGGGGGGGTTTAAGAGTTTCTACAAAATACACAGCCCGTTTATAACAGAGTTTCAACAGTGTGTGGAGATTTAGTGGCATCTAGCAGAGAAGTTGCAGATTGCAGCTAACTGAACACCATTCACGTCTGTATTTGACGACCTGGATATGAGGACAGTTTGTGAAAAACATAAAAGGCTCTTCTATCTACAGCCAGTGTTTGGTTTGTCTGTTCTGGGCTACTAAGCTACTTCTGGCAGGTCAGCATGGTGGACTCCATGGAAGGCAACACGCGTCTGTAGATTTAAATGGCTCATTCTAAGGAAACAAAAACAACACAATTCTTATCTTTAGGTGATTATACGCAAATGGAAACATACCCATGAATATTATATTCCATTTCTTCCAATAGAGCCTCTGAAATGTTACACATGGACCTTTATAGGCATGATTCTCCTAATTTACATGAAAAAGGGTTCTCTGTACATCTTCCAGCAGTTCCCTTCCCTTTGATGTTTAAATTTGACTCTTTTATTGCAAAATCAAACCGAAATTAATATAGAAAAATAAACTTTTCACAAATTTTAAACTGATTCTAGCCCATCACTCTGGAGAAACTGAATTTACACACTTTTTTGGTTTCCAGTCAAGGGGAGGGGTATTTTTAAAATTAGCCCTGCTTCCTGTCTAGTACATTAGATTGAGCTTTCAGCTGTGGCGCTCAAAAGTGAGTAGTGAGTGGGTCATCGTGGATTTATCTTTTATCTGATGTAGTAATCATTGTTATTCCTTGTTTTGTGATTTTCCTCTGGTACTATTCCTGCCCATTCTTTCAGAGCNNCCCCCCCCCCCCGCTTTTTTTTTTTAAGATTAGTGCTTTTTATTATCCGGTTGTTTAATTTGGAAACCAGCCAAAGAAATAAAGACTTCATGCCTAGAAAATAGCCTCGGCTCGGACTTCATTATCTCCAGCGCTGTTTGCCTTATCTCTGGATGCTCGAGTCTCTTGACATATATGGATAGACCCGTCACCCTGCGGCCTGACAATACAGTCCCAAAATAATCTGAGAGCGCACAGCTGAGCCCCGCTCGTTGGCTGCGCGCTGCTCCGTCGCTGCTGCGCCCTGTGAGGAGACACTGCCGTCCAATCTCTCATCAGTAATGACCAAATTCAGCTATTCTGAATACTTATCTCAGTTCCGTAATGCTGGAGGTCAATGTAATAATGTTCTGTCGCGACTGCCAGGAGACAGGAGGAGAGGAGACGGTCTGCGCGACGTAACGTCAGAGCCGGAGTGAGTCTTTTGTTGTGTGCTGTTTGACGCGGAGGCTGCCAGTGTGTGTGTGTGTGTG